AGCACCTGAGTGCCTCGCAAAGTCCTAATGACGATTCTTGTTCTGCCCCGGCATGTCCTGTGCCCTATGCTGCCCTATGCTCCAATCCTCTTCTCTATACTGTTTCATCTTGTCCCATCTCAACCCGCCCCCCGGGCGCTAACGTGTCTTGTTGCCACCTATCTATCTTCCATGTCCTGTCTTCTGGCTGCCATGTCATTCCTGGTGATGGCGAAACCGGTGAGGAGATTTGTGGACGGAAAGCATTATTTTTACCTCGTTCTTCATGACTGTATTGTATGCCCATTTGTGCGATTTCCTTGGCAATTTTCACTGTAGAACGCTTGTGTTTAAAATCCTTCAATTCAAGATGTCATTTTCAGTTCAGGTTGTCTGCTCTAGATTTTAGTCTCATCCCGCCCCCATCTTGGTTATCCCCGCGATCTCAGAGTCGTCTCGATCTCGTCAGATCTCGAGTCATGGGCGTAGGAACAAGGGGGGGGGGGGGTCAGGTGAGCCATGCCCTCCCCAATTTTCAAGGTGGGGGGCCACCAGTGTTAACTGCTCCCCCACTTTTCAGTTTAGTGTTGTTTTTAGCTTACTTTTGCACCACATTTAAATATACATGCCGATTCAACTACTTCACCAGCCATCTTCCTCAAGATGCGTCACCTTTTTCGTTTGCTTATTGGCCATCGCCTATTGCCACAGCAGGCCGACGCCACGCGGCGCGTGGAGACTGCGACGCCGGGTGTTCAGGCTGTTGTTGCTATGACCTGCGAGAGCGTATGTTCAGAACGATATCGTATAGTTTTTTTTATCAGTAATCAATTTTGACTGAATCTTGAAGATTTTAAGACGAATATGGATTAGCCATGTTAATACAAGCTTAGGACCCCATTTCATCTACAATCCATGTTGGCCCAATCTATGTATGTTCAGGGATTCCTCAGTACCTCTGAAGAAAACTGAAAAGCACGGAACTAGAGCCTGTGACAATTATTGGATCATCTTTGGCGATCAGGCATGTTATTGCGGCAATGAGGGTTTCTGTGCTGATCCGGGGCCAAGTGCGCGGGTCAGAACGCCTCCCGTGTTTGGGAGGTAATAATGTAATATGGTATATGGAGGTAATATGGAGTAATATGGAGGTATATTACTCCATACGAGGTAATAGTGTAATATGGAGGTAATATAATATATCCTTCCCATGGCTTCTGGATCGACAAGGAGATCCCGCCCCGTGTCGCCAGAATAGCAGCCGGAAGATGCTTCGCGATGGGACGGAGTGGCCCTTTAGCTCTTGACCGGAACCGGTAATGTGTCATTGGTTTTCTACTCAGGGGGCCTCTTTCCCGGAAGGAAATAAGGGGCCTCATTGTTGTTGAGTAGAGTGGAGGTCTCATTATTGTTGAATAGAATAGGTCAAAATATGTTTTTTAAAAACGAGCAAAACCATCCCATATTTGCCCAAGAACGTCCATTTTTCAGCATGGATTCGTAAAAAGTGCATCAAAAAGTTTGAACCTTCCCGTCCGCAACCTCGAAAGCAAGGACATCGATGGTCTGGGTTGCAGATTCCGTAAAACCAAACGGCGTCGGCCACTGCAAGTGCCACTAGACGGCAGGTGACGTGTTAATCTGCCTTCTGGACAGATCGATAGTTACAGAAGCACGAAAAAATAGAAAATCTACCTTTACTGTTTCAGTTTCAGCACCAGATTCCGGCACCACTTCGCGGTGCTTTAAGAGCCAATCTGCTCTGATCATCAGTCTAAAAGTCGCACACGTGAAATATGCGCCCAGACTGCATTGCAGATGTAAGATTTGATGTTCTGAAGCATTCAAAAGTACTTCTTTTAGAAGCGTCATCATTTTAGTTTCCCCCGTTGGCCACGACTCAGCATTAGCGGTTGAACCGACGCTGCGCGGCCTACGGAGACTGCAACGCCTGGCGTCGAGGCTTTTTAAACTAAGATTTGCGAGTACGCATGCTCAAAATTATGTCACATAACTTCTATTACTAACCGATTCAAGTGATTAAAGGTAATTATTTCAGAACCGTTATCATTTTTGTCCACCGGTGGCCCATGACGAAAAGTTAACTACTAAGCTAACGCTCCACGGACTATAGAGACTGCAGCGCCTTGTGTCGAGGTTTTTGTTGCTAAGACTTGCGAGCGCGCATGATAAAAACCACGTTATAGAAATTGTATCACCAATTGATTCTGACTGAATGCTTAACATTTCCAGACAACCATGGCTTGGCGGTGTTAATACACATTGTTGACCACTCGATCTACGATCAAAATTTTCAACCTCAAATTTCGATCAAACATATCGATCTACAGTCTACCTCCGCGATGTCCTTTATGTTTGTAGGACGCAGATAAAACATTACGAAAAAGATTCTGAGCTCTACCGGTTTAGAAAAGTTCACCAAGCCATGGCAAATTAAGGACACCGGTGATTTACTCCATGCAGTCGTTAAACGCCTGATTTCTGCAGTTCATCGACCTTAACACGCCCTCGGGTGGGGGGTCAAATTGACTCGCCCCCGAAGGGCTTTCCAGAATGGTCTCCGAACGGCGCGGCGCATTCGTGCCATGTTTTGCATAGCTGCAGAAAATTGAATAGCGGATGGTTTAGCATAACACAAGTCAGATGCACTGCGTGAGGTCGCTGGCCTATGGTAGGTCAAAGTCAGGCCATGGTTTCGGCGAAGTCAACTTGTAGAGAATCTTTCAACCTGATGCATCAATAAAGTGTTAGACGAAGCCATACATTTCTGAGATGCTTTCTTAGGCAACGCAAGTATTGCATGAGCAAATTACGTTGACCTAGGATCAGGTATAGAGGTCAAACCAAGGTCAAAACCGGCCTCTTTTGTTACTCCAGGGCATGCTGTATGAGATAGTTTCTGGTGCTCATTTCAAATTTATTGGTAGCAGAAACCGCATAATGCATATTCCATGAACTTCTTAAAGGTCAGAATAGGTCATTGACCCAAAATGACCTAGGTCAACATTTTGTTTTTAGAAACATACTGACTAACATAATCTCTATCGCTTTTTCAAATGCAAAACTCAGAGCAGTCCTGCATGACTGGTCACCATGATCTTTAAAAGTTCAAGCAAGGTCACTGACCTTAAATGAACATGTGACCTTCTGCCTACAACAGTTATCTAGGTTCTGGGTGCACTTTAGAGGCCAACCTGGAATATGACCTTGTTTGACTTTATTTGACCCGAAGATCACGACATAGAAACCTCAAACTTTGACTAAAGTGAGTTCACGTACAGATCAACACACCCTGTGCATTTGGTGTCTCTGGCTCTCTTAAGTCCTGAGATCTTGGGGGGTCAAATTGACCCCCACCCGAGCGAAGGGTGTCTAGCCGGCCACCCGGGCGCGTGTTAAAAATGTAAACAGAATTTATTTCACGGTAGCTGCTGGTTTCTGTTCTGGGTGAAAAGTAAAAATAGCAATGAAACGAAGAAAATCGTATCCCTTGTAAACAAGCAAACTATGTCCGGGGATGTCTTTTTGTGGGGGATCACCATAAAGGGAGCTTTTGTCAACCCTATGTTCCTCCTAACATGGCTCTGGCTACCCCCTGCCTACACACAAAAACAGATTGCGTCATCTACGCCGAATGATGGGCAATCAAATGTCCGCTGAGCCAGTTCATACCTAAAGTAGGCAGCTTACCGGCGGTATTTTTCCGGGGCGGTGTGGTTTTAGGGAAGGAAATTTGGGAAAAGATATTGTTGCAGGTGTCCAACACATGTTTTACATCCCAATTAGTAGCAATGCTGACCCAGAAATGTGCAACAAAGAAGCCATACCATCAGTTCGCGATCAGCCATTCGGGGACAGCCGGGCCATGTCAGTGGCCACCGACGGCGGACGGGAGCAGAGCTCAGGCAAGGAATATATGACAGAATGGTTTTCATTTTGTGGCTTGGTTTTCAAGGGGGGATCTCCACTTCTATAGTTTTTCTAACATGGTTTTTGGCACTTTCGAGCTTCCGCGCTTGTTTCCGCCTAAAATGCCGCGACAAGTCTTAATTCTTAAAAAGTAGCCGGCGAAATGAGGGCGCACGCAAAATCTGTTGTACTGTGAGCCATCGATTTACTTTCAAAATTCTCACCAGCCTATGCTCAGGCCATATTTTGGCATCTACCCTGTGGAGACAGACGCCCCTTTAATGACCCAAGATGCCTACCCGCTCGTGGAATTTTGGCTCCGCGAGACAGACAACGCTGAAATGGACGAATTGCTTTGGGAAGCGGGAAAGCCTTATTTCTCGAATGACATAGATGAGTCGGATAGGCAAGAGTGTGCACCAGCGAGAAACAGCTATATATGCATATCTAGAACAGCAGTCATTACAATAAAGGGTGATAGCCTCCATCTCTACCTCCTCCCCCCTCCCGGTCGTCGGGCTTGTTTTCCAGGAAAAGTTCTCGAGGTACGCCATGAGCCTGCCCCCCCCCCCCCCCCACACACACACTTTTAAACGTTCCTACGCCTATGGTCGTGATTACACCTATGCCGAAAAAGCAACAAAAATAAAGTTTCATTGCACGCCATTTTTAACATTTTTTTTCGATGCCTGTCAAGTAAGATATTTCGTAGCTTCCTGATTCGTTCTCTGTTCCGTTTTGCTTATATGTCGACGGACATTATGCATGTAAATGAGACAATGCTAATTAGCTTATTTCTCATAAACTACTCAGAAAAATCGGAAGATGGATATATTGATGCATGCAAAGAGATGCACAAGATGCATAAGGTTAGATGCATAAGCGAAAGATGCATACTTTTATCGAAAGAAATGCTCTAATTAATTTATTAATTCTCTATGTTGATAAGTTTGCAGCCTATTTTCACATGAGTGACATATTTCTATCTACCAGAATAAATACACCTCAGCGGTGCTGAATATGGTAGCAGTATGCTACCATATCACAACAAATACCGTGTCGTGTTTTCCGTTGTGTTTTGACGCGCCACGGGATCGCGGGCGCCACAGCTGATCGGTGCAATGACCGAGTGGAGATACGGTCTCGATAGTCGTGGGGTCTGCGGCGGATTTCATCCAACAGGCTGGCGTTGAGAGCATGGTGGAAGAAGTCAGTGACGTGTTCAAAACTGGGTCGATTGTAACTGTACGGGGGTAATGGATCGTAGCGCGCCATGCTGGACAAGGCGCCCGCTTGGCCGAGAGAGGTAAGGAAAATGGGTCACCTCTCCATTTATGATCTGTCCTCATAAAAAGCTTAAGTTGCCCAAGTTGTTCGGTTCCAGTGAATTTTCTAAGAAGATGTAGGAAGGTGGGGGCAGGGTGTTTGCTTTGTTCTTGCCCACGCTGATACGGCACCATCACCATTGGGTCAATGCCATGTTTTCCAGAGATGGGATCTGGTTCCATCTGCTCTGTCTGGTTCTACCATCGCCGAATTTTGATAGTTAATGATGTGTTGATTTGATCATGAGCTCAATTTGTGTGACATGTACAGTTCACCCTTTCGTGCAAAACTAGTCTTTCAATTGCCTGTCATTCTGTGCTGTATGAGTCATTGTGTTTTCCATTTTGTATTACTTAGGTGGGGATATTGAGTACTTCTTTTGTTAAAGAAATGGTTGTGCTTTATAATAAGACCATGTGATGGATTTTGGTGAGTGCCCAAAGGATTGACTCTTCATGATGATTATATCACTAAGGTTTGTTGTGAGATCAAGACAGAATTGGCTGTACTTTGATAGTGCCCCATTGCATGACCTATGCACATGGAAAAACTAACCTTATGAACATATAAGTAGCTATTCAGCCAGGTATCTATGGCATGCTAGATGTCACCTTTGCTCAAAGCTAGCTGACGACTTGGTATGCATATATGTGCCTGGCAGGAATAGGTCTTCATTTAGCTTACCATAATTGTTTGCTCACATTTTGGCCATCTGTGCTATGGGGGTTACAAAAATACAATTTTTCAAGATTTTGAGTTTCTGCATTTTCAGAAATTGTATCAGTGTTCAGTGTATATGCATAGCAAATAATAGGAAAAGGCTGTGATGATAAGTGATTAAGTTACAGCACTTATTCATTGTACCATTGAATTGCCTGCCATGTGTCTTACCCTGTTATGTCCTATTGTACTATTATTTCAGATATGGAGTGATGCTTGATGAGATGGCATGGTGAATTGGTGCCTGTTTCTGGTATTTATTAAGCACTAAGAATGATGTGAGGTTGACATGCTTCTTGGATTGAACATCCACCATCTGTGGATGTCCTTTGATTTAAAGATGATTTCCATCACCTGGACATTCTCAGTCATCAGTTATGCCAGGATTAACAGCCTGTTGTGTTCACAGTGTGGACAGCCTTCACCAGAGGTGGTCATATGATATAATTTCCTCTGTACCATCTGGGAATTGAGATGTCACCCTGTGGGCACATTGTGATGTCAAACAGGGTGTACTAAAATGGACTAACACTGGGCTCTAGTGTTTGTGTTCTGTTTATTTGTTAGGCTCTTTGTGAAGAGACATTTTAGGCCATAGCAGCATGACCATGCTGCTACCTTGCTACAGGTGAGGGTACCACTGGTGCAGGCTCTCCCACAGGCCCCACTTCCTGTTTCAGGACAACATTTGACTGAGCCTGTGAACCTGACTGGCATTGGGCTTCTCTCTGCGGCTGCCGCCATGTCTGTGCTGCAGAAGGAGCATCCCCTCAAGACTATTGGTGGCAACCGGCTGCTGGCCGCCTATGGCAGCCTCTCCCTCAGACCCAGCACAGGTCAGTCGTGGGTCTCCGTGGTTCATCACAAGTGAGTCTGAGGTCACTGACTGACCCATCAGTGGAAATGTCAAATCCGTTTTACTCCTGGTATCTCTCTCATCCATCAGGTCACTCCAATTGGGCATTAGACCATCACAAGTGTAGCAATAGTAGTCAGTCAGAGGCCGGCCAACATAGAACGGTTCAGGCAAGTTATGCTTACCTGGCACAGCATAGCCAGGTCACTAACCCACCACTGCCCAGGCACATCAGTTGTATGGAGTGCTGGTCAGTCGGGGTTGACCCCCATCTACTCTTTATTGGTTAATCAGGTCAGGACACTGGTGCCTATTTCTAACTTTCAGGACTCACTGCCATCCTTAAGTAGCCTGCTGTCCGTCATTGGTCCATTAGGTCACTTGGAGCCAACGATGGTCATTCGGAGGTCTTTTGACATAAGTCTGTTGGGTGTAGCTCGCTGGCTCTCTGCTCCCGAATGAATGCCGCGGGATGTAATGTTCTCAGAGCATATGCTGTCGCTGGTCTCGCCTTTGCCGTTCCATTTTTGACGACTGCTTCAAAGTTCTTCCAGTTGTAGTAGTATAGTATATGCCGGTTTGTTTTTACGCGCAGTGCAGTGATAGACGAACTTACCTGGACGTTTCAGCGCGTTTTAACGATCGGTGCAAACTTGCATGTGACTGCGAGACGTGCAAGGCCATACGGCTGGCCGAAGTGCGGCTTCGGGGGCACTCATCGGTGTCTAGGGCGTCCCGTGCCTCAACTGTGTACAATATTTTTTCTTACGCTGCGTCGGCATCTTAACGCTCAGAAAGCCGGGACTAAGACTGTTTTCTGCTTGATTGATGCTGTAGGTAAACGCAGGCTGGTTTACCACCGCTCAGGGATCATGTGCATACTAAATGGGTGCTTTGTGTGCCTGTGCCTGAGAAAAGCATGCGAAATCACGGCGGTAAATCCGTAACTACGGGGCAATGTGCGCGACTGTGGAACATGACGCGGCTCATCCAGAAGGTGCACCGCCGTGCGTCACTGACAGGGTGCCCACACGCGGTGCCGCCGGGCCATCCGTCTTCGGCAGGCATGGTGACGCCCGAGGGACCGTGGTCTGTCGACCCTGGGAGATGTCGACTGCGTGGCTAGCTCCGTGACGGCGACGCGGACCGACCGCGTGGTTTCCTAAAGGTCCGATGGTCACACACGGGACCAGGTGTCATGCTTGGAACCCTCCCGCCGCGCCCCTCCCCCCCCCGCCCCAGACACCTGGCCGCACCAGGTGGGGTTTGAATGGCCAAGTTAAACACCATCGGTCATCCATGAATCAGTTGCGACCGGTAGCTGAATCAGCCTACCATAGCGGCGAGTTTGCGATGGTGCGTTTCCGATGACGATTCCCGAGCGAGTTTGAGACAGCCGTTGTCAGTCAACGCACTCGCACCGTCAAATTATTGCCCCGCCCCAGGGTGTCTGTTTTTGTAACCTTTTGCTGTGGTTTGCCGGTGCGAGTACAAGCGTCTTGGTTCTGCACGCGGGGCCTGTGCCCAGGAGTGCCGGTCGGGGGTCACGAGACTCGAGTCTTGACGGCCACGCCGCGGCGTGCAGGAATGCCCGTCCGTCACGTAGGCCGTGGTCACGTGGGCCGTGATCACGTGGCCGTAGCTCGCGTGGCTGGTGGCCGTTACGGAAGTGCGGCCAGGGCGGGTCGGACGTAACGTGATCTCCATAGGTCACCACAGACGTCTGGCGCGGCTGTGCGTGAGCTCGAGGCCAGCGCCACGTGGTGCGGACGGGTGCCTCCATCACCTCCGTGTTGTTGCCGACCGTTGGACGAGTGTGACAGGGCCTGTTGGGCTTCCTGCTCGCCCTCTAGTCGCGGCAGGCGCCACCCGGACATGTGCTCGAGGCGCACAGTGCATGCGCTTGGTTTTTACGGGGGGGGGGGGGGGGGCTGTTCGCTCGGCCCTCACAGTTGAATCTAACTGAAGCGTCGAAGACCGACCGACAAGCAAACGCACCGCAGCTGGATGCCAGTCGCGCGGCGCGGTGCACCTACTGGCTCGTTCAGCTCTGTCCGGCGGGTGGGAACACAGCCGATGTGGACGCGGCGGGCTATGTTGTCGGGACGATACAGCAAGCCATTTTGCGGCACGGCTGCCGAGCGTGCTGTCGCCTTTGAAGGCGAAACCGGCCCGTGCAGTATGACTCACCGCGGGCATTCTGCAGCCTTCTATAATTGGCGATTTCCGCATGGGTGTGCGCGCCTTGCTGTTTGGCGGGGCGGGTGTGGCGTGGCGGTCCGTGCCACGGGCGGTAACATATTTCGCGGGTGTTGGGCGTGACGCGCTTGGGCTCCGTTATCATACAGAGCGCGGAGACGGACGGCTGTTGGGCCGTGTGCGCAGCGGCGAACGCCAGATGGGTCAGCTTTTCTCGGCTGGGATGGGATTATGTCTGTGTGGCCGGCAGTGTCGGGCGGGTCGCCCCTCACGGTCCCTGAACGGAGACCCTTCGTCGTACGCTTTGTGCCCAGACGTGTGCGGTGTCCGACACACCGAGCGACCAATTAAGAGAGTGCCTTGTTGAGCGAGATGGAGCCTATCTGTTCCGAGCCTTGTATGAGGTTATTGAGTGCTTTGTACAGGTGACTTTGGGCTCAAAGCATGTGGAGGGAAGCCTGTTGTGTACGCTAGAACCTACTACTCAGCTGGGCGATCCAGTTTACCCAGTCTTTTGCTGGACGGGACTGAGGTATGTTTTACGTGCCGCACGATGCCACGTCACAGCCTTCCGGATCATTTGGCCAGTTGCCAGCTGACATTTCCGCGTCAGCCGGGCCAAACGATGCGCCCGTCTGGGTCTCGCGTCCTGTGCCGCTGGGTCGCCAGTCCAGCATCTTTTCCCTAGCGCTCATAGACGACGGGACTGCCCCGTATTCATTCCGCGCTCTGGGTGCGGATTCGGCGTTTTACCTTTATAAAGTTCATGTTTAAGAGTGTTTGGTCTTTGCACCGGCCTGCCTGCACTGCCGTCCCTGTCTGGCCCGCTCTGGCTGACGGGTGCTGGTCCGGTTTGCGCGGCTGTGCCGTGGACACCGTCTCGCCGTCGTCTCGCCGTGCCTCATGTCGCCGCCGGCCGGCCGGCTGCGCGCTCCTTCCGAGAGTCGGTCAGGGGCGCGGAAGCCTCTCCGCAGCCCTGGGCGCAAAGTGGCTCAGCACCGCCTCGGAGCGAGCCCGCCGGCCACAGCTCCCAGGCCGCACGCCGGCGTGGGAGCCGCCGGCTGTGGCGCGTGCGATTGGCGCCCCATTAAATGTTGTCAGCGGTCGCCGGCGGCGGAGGCCGCGCCCCTGGTCAGCGCGCGGATTTGTCATGTGTTGTATATGGGGATTGAGCTCAAGTAAGTAGGTATTTCGTTGTCTTGATTTGCGCGCAGGGGCGGCGCAACATGAGGCGCATAGGGAGTAGTTGCCCTCTGCCGGCAGGCAGGGGGTAGAGTGTGACAGTATGTCTTGCCCCTTCAAAGTTTTTGGGCACGTTTTTTCCTAATCTAAAGGCATTGCAGGTGTCTGTAGCTTACTAAAATTCAGGTCAAGGGGGCACTACCAACTGAGCTAGATAGTAATAAGTCGGGCTCAGGAGACCCTTTTCTTCATCAAGACTCCCGTTTCATCTATCGTGAGGCCACCTTTATGAATAAAGTTGTCTATGCTCTAGTGTAGTAGGTTCAATGTTTTGTTATGGGAGCATCTCTACAGGCTCGGGAGGCCCCCGTTACGACGTAGGTGGGCACACTTCGTAGTCAGAAAGCGCCTGATACATCCAGGAGGCCCTATTTCTGGAGCAGGAGGTTCCATTTTTGGAACAGGAGACCCCTTTTATGCATCAGATGGCCGCCATTCCGGATCAGGATGCCCTGCTTCCGGGATAACGAAGCCCGTTACCTCGATTTGGAGGCCCGCTTTGCAAATCGGAGGCATCCTCTTCTGGATAAGGAGGCCTATCTGTGCACCAGGAGGCCCCATAGAAAATCCTGCCCTTCAACCCAAAGTCCGTGACGCCGCTCCTGTCTGTGCGTATCATTAATTGTGAAAAGGCTTACGCGGTCTGCAACCTAACGGTTCTCAGTCTCATGGGCTTGCTGCCACCCCCACCCTCCTCCCAATCTATCGCCGTGTGCTAAAGGGACTGAAACCGCGGCGAGATGAATGTGTAGTCATTTGGATTGGTTGGATCATTCATTTCGTGCCCACTGCGGCCATTAAAAGTCGGCCGAGTCTGCGCCACACCACCCGAGGCATTCGGTCTCTCTGCCCGTACGAGACGCGCCGGGGAACGCCGGCGTCTCGTGCCAAGCTGCGCACGCACCCGCCTACAACTGTCGCGATCAATGCGGCCGCCGTGCTGTGTAAGAGATGACGTCACGGGACTGTCGCGTGTCACGTGTTACCAGGGCGGGGACGATGCACGCGGCGGGGCGAGGCGCTCGAGGACGGTTAACGGGACGGGTCGCAGTGCGCTCAAAGGGAGAATTCCACATTTTAAGGTATTGAAACAAGCATCAGATATGATTAAGTAAGCTCACGTATGACTATTGGTATGCTTTTAAGTAGAGGCTGCTCTAGACAACATAATTTCTCCGTGAAGTAGATATGCTCCTCAAGGGATCATTGTTTGATTATGTTGTCGCACCTGGCACAGCGTTGATCGAGAGCCAGGTGACGGCAGTCATATCTGGACATGCTCGAGGACGCCAAATGTCAACGACTCAAAAATTTCCGTTTCTTGGCCTTGATTGCGGTACAGCCATTGGAATGGCAGCTTTTGAATAGCGTTTTTATGGCGTCGTGGATGCCTGGGTGTCCTTGGAATGGCTTGCTTGAGGCTTGGCTCTTCCCGTCTTCATGTCTTTGCGGGCGCTTAGCTCGGAAACTAGAAGGGCCTGAGGACGGAGGTCCTGAGAAGGGCAGGGCTGTGAACGGCACCGAACGGTGTTCAATATGTTGTTGTCAGTTCGGAATTACATAGAAATGTGCAACACTCCCTTTAAACAGTTAGTATGTGCTCACCACTCAAGACATTTGTCAAAGTTTTGAAAGACAAAATTTAAAAGATTACCAGCGCAAGGAAGATCTGATAATTTTTCAGTTCTAGCTAATGGCGGCGTAATTCGTTGACGACACGGATAAAGCCGTGCATTGATTTGTGACAGAAGAACCGTGGATTTGTCCTTGATTTACACTTCGTTTTCGTAACATAGGCAGCCGATGGACGCAGCAGAAGAGTACTACGGTGTTTGATGGTTGGAAATGGGCACGCGAGATACTTCTGCCAGTTGTGACACTTACGTTTACGGAGAGGAAAATTCAAGTAACAAATCTCATCCCATTCGGTTGTGCGTGCAGTTTCACCCTTGCGGATTATATTTTCGCTGGCGCAAGGGTGTTCTAGAAACCCAACTTTGTCTTCAGCCAGATTTCCTCCATACCTGACCCGTGGTCAGTTGGAGATATGCAAACGGCTTAACTGCATTGGAATCCTGCTGTGTGTAATGGCACTTGCGCTCCTGACACTGCACACCTCTGTATCTGGCCGTTTAGAATGTATTTATCCATAATTTTAATATATTATTCTGTTTTCCATATTATCTCATCCATTCTTAAACATTTATTAACAAGCATGATAATAAGCAAGCATTACCCGTAAGGTATAATTTGCCTACCTTTGTTTAAAAGGAACGTGGCACGTTGTCGTGCACTCGTTATGAAATGATAACAACTACAGTGGTCATATTATCGTCCAGCGGCCAGAACGCGGCTAAACTCTTTCTCCCGAAGTGTCCGTGGTCTAGAAGTCATATTATCATGCCCTCTGATTCTCCTCCGAGAATTATAATACTGTCACGCCGTGCTTGACTCGCCAGGGAAGCGCAAGTCGGCCGTGGAGATGCTGCAGGAGACCAAGGCGTTTTACGTCAAGTCGGAGCGCGTGCTAGACGCCAAGCAGGAGATGAAGCACGCCGACCACCTGCAGGTGTCGGCGGCGCCGCTGGTGCGGCCACCGTGGGTACGCCACCTGAGCGACCCGGCTCAGGCGTCGCCGCCGCCGCCGCCCGAGCGTCCGCCACGCTCCACGCCGGAGAAGCCTCCACCGCTGCCCCTCAGGTGAGAGTCGGGCGCCTACCGCTCTCCATCCCGGAGAAGCCTCCGCCGCTGCCCCTCAGGTGAGAGTCGGGCGCCTACCGCTCTCCATCCCGGAGAAGCCTCCGCCGCTGCCCCTCAGGTGAGAGTCGGGCGCCTACCGCTCTCCATCCCGGAGAAGCTTCCACCGTTGCCCCTCAGGTGAGAGTCGGGCGCCTACCGCTCTCCATCCCGGAGAAGCCTCCACCGCTGCCCCTCAGGTGAGAGTCGGGCGCCTACCGCTCTCCATCCCGGAGAAGCCTCCGCCGCTGCCCCTCAGGTGAGAGTCGGGCGCCTACCGCTCTCCATCCCGGAGAAGCCTCCGCCGCTGCCTCTCAGGTGAGGGCCGGGCCGGATGGCCACCGCTCTCCATCCCGGAGAGCCCTCCGCCGCTGCCTCTCAGGTGAGGGTCGGGTGGGCGCCATGTGACCATCGTAGTCGGTGCGCCCCAAAGCCCGAATCATCATCATCAGGTGAGGTCGGGCGACCGGGCCGCCGGCGCGCGCGGCGTCAGGCAAGCCATGCAGTGCAGCAGGAGGCTGCTGCGTAGGTTGTGGGGAGTAGTTGTGCGTCAGGCTGTTTTGTGAAAGCTGGTTGAGTGAAGGTGTGAAGGTGCGTGAATCTGATGCCCGTGCTGTGTTGGGTGTGTTGTTTGCTGCTATTTGCGTAATCAAAATGCATTATACCATGAAGTGAAATGTAGCTACCTTGGTTTTGCTACTAAACGTCACGGGGCATATCAGGGTGAAGAAAGCTGTTAATGTGACTAGTCCATCGCAGGCATCTTCGCCGAGCGAGACGATTCTTTCTGGTCAATCCATTGTGTCCAATGCATGTGTCGGGAAAGGCACTGAACTCGCAATCTTTGTTGTTTGCTGCTGCCTCCGCGGCCTGCTTGAGGCGATTTCCTTGTGCCATAGCTTGCTGGGCAAATATGCTAACCAGTCCTGATGTTAACACCTTTGTGGCCACCCAGCGATTTCAATGGGGACTGGTTGGGCCTTGATTTACTGGCTCGGGTCGTAAACCGCATGGTTGCCAAACGTCTCAGGTGTTCTCCGTCCAGAGTTGACTCACGCTAAACTGTGTCTGTTGGCTTATTTGATCCGTTTTCCTGGCGCGAAGCATCTGCCCTTATGTGATAGGCAATGGGTTGGCGTCTGAGTCGGAATTTAATGCCTTAACTCCTTTCGTGAGTGGCTCAGCGATGTGTGGTGTGAAAATGGAGGAACTACTTACTGGGTGAGGTCATGAGAGAAGGTTTGTATCCCATAACTGGACCGCACTGACCACTGGTCAGCCTCTTGCATGTCGCCATATTTGTCCCCTGGTCAGCTCTCGACGCGCGGCAAATGCCGTTGACGCCGAACAACTTCTGGGACACCCCGCCGACTGCACCCCCTAAAATTTAACAGGCTCTCGCCAGTTTGCCTTGACCACCGTGACCATCGTTTGTCATACACCCACCACTGAACTCCGCCTGTTTTCTCGACCAGGTCTCCGAGCGGAGGCGTCGGTGGCAGCGGCGGCCAGCCCCGCTCGTTGGTGACCCCCTCCGCGACGCCCAGCCGCGGCAGTCGGGAGCCGGCGCGCCCGGACCGGCCGCGCCGCTCGGCGGAGCCGGGACGCCGCCGCTCGGGCGAGAGCGTGCAGGCGCGGTTGCGGCAGCTGCTGACGCCGGCCGGCCGTGAGCCGGCCGAGCCGCGCCACAAGTCGCTGCCCGACATCAGCGCTGACGGCGGCTCGTCGGCATCGGCCGACAGCGGCGGCGCGTCGCTGGCCGGCCGGCACAGCCGCTCGGGCGCGCGCAGCGCCGGCCGCGCCACCTCCGACTACGTCAGCCGCTCGCCGGCCTCGGCGCTGACGCCGTGCGGTGACGGCGCGCCCTGGCCGCGCCGGCCCGTCACGCGCTCCAAGTCGGACGTTGGTCACAAGCACGCCGGCGGCGGCGGCGCGCTCGGTCTCTGGCCGCCTGAGCCGCCGCCGCCGCTGCCGGCACGTGCCGGTCGGCGCGGCTCGCGCGCCTCGGCCGAAGCCGGCCGCTTCTTCGACCAGCTGGGCATGGACGGCGAGCGGTTCGAACGCGTGGCGCGCGCGCCGTCCGACCGCTGGTCGCCCGTGCAGACGCCCAGCTTCTGGGACGGCCTGTCGGCGGGATCGTCGCGCGGCCGCCGCACCAGCGTCGCCAGCGAGGCGTCGTCGGCCGGGCCGGGCAGCCTGCGCGCGCCGCTCCTGCCGCCGGCTGCCGAGCCGAGCATCGTGGAGAAGAATGCGCGCATCGTCAAGTGGCTGGTCCACTGTCGGCGCGCGCAGCAGGATTGGGCGCTGGGCGTGACGTGACGTGACGGACTCCCGGCAGGTGAGGGCTTCGCTGAGACCCGTGAGCGGGCAGTGACTGGGCCAATGGGAGGGCTCCCCTGAGGTCCGCTAGTGGATGAGAACCCCGCTGGGGTGGACAGGTGGGTGAGGACTTTCCTGAGTGTCGCTCGTCAAATGAGTACTCGCTGGGTTTGCTAACTCAAGGACACCTCAAGGCTCTGGTGACAGGCAAGCGTGCTTCTGGCCCCTGCTGGTCATGTGAGTTCCCGTGGTGTTCTCAAATGGCACACGAGTCCACACCGCGACAGTGATGGTGGGTGAAGGCGCCTCTGAGCAGGAATGGCGGGCGAGAGTCCCCCTGGGCTGGAGCATTCGGTGCGGGCACCTCTGGCACCGCATTGTTCTGAATCTGGCATAAGGACGTGGCTGATGAGTGATACGCTATATGTACAGACGCCCATCCAGTTCTGCGCGTTGTACATTTTATTGAGCGTTGTTTGGCGCCACCGCCCTGCGCCATTTTTTATAATGTATATGGACGTTGGAAATTATGTTCAAATGTGTCGTCTCGTGTTTTGTGCAGCTAAAACTTTTTTCAGCGAGACCTGTTCGCTGAGCTGCACACAAAATGCGAAATGGCCGCCAGTTCGCTTGGATGTCTGCAAAGTTCCGCTGAGTTCACCGACCAACTGCTAGACCTATCTGCCGACAATATTCGGAAGTGATCGTGAACCAGCAGTGATCAAACGAACTGCCGATAACTTCAGTTAATTGACTGTTGCAGGTGACGTTCCAAGTGATTGAAGTGCAGCAGGAGTTTGCAAGACGTACGTCCCGCCCCAATACTGGCTCACCGCTATATTTAAGTTTTGTTTTACGATTGGCCTACCAAATATGATCTTTCAAGTCGTCTAGGCTTGGTGAAGTATACTGTGTTCTAGGTGTTCCCCGATGAAAAGCCATTCTTTTGTGATGCACGTGGTATGATGGCTGGCGCCTCGGTCTGCGCGGCTCCAGCGGTCTGCAAGCTTTATGGGTATGGTGTTTTGGTAATGTCAGGTATTCTGCAGAGCTGGCAAGAATGTGAACACAACTCATTCCCACCCGCCTGTCTTAAGACCTCAGCCCTCTTGTCGCCTGCCACCCATTGCTTTCTGACATATGTTGGGGACTGCTGAGATATCTTCGTGTTTGCTGTTGTGCTTCATTTACATGCGTCTGCATCCCTCGCTCTTAAAAAGACACTGGTGCATTCCATGTGTTCCTGATGCATATGTACATTTGGCGCCACCTGCGGGCATGTGGGTGCCCTGGGATGACGAGCCTAGCTCGCGTTCACCCTTAGCTGTCAGGGGTAATATCCTTTTGATAAGTTTAGATACAGTCTATCTATGACATAAGCGGCCGATTTTCGCAGCGTGATCCGTTTGTCATCCATACTCGTGGAAGATGTATTCCTGTGGCCCTGTCCATACAGGAGCGTGACACAACCGCAGGCTGGGCCCTGACCGCCATTTCTGTGGCGCACAGCTTATTGGTCTGGACACGGCAGGATTTCTGCTTACTAGTCTGGGCGCTGGATCAGACCGGGCTGGCTGCTGCGGCCTCGTGTTTGCCCTCGCCGCACTGGAGGTGACCCGTTCTGTTCCGCGGTGACTCGGCCTTTTTTGCATGGTTGTTGGGTGCGCCCCATCCGCGCTCGAGATCAAGGACAAATCGAGTTGTGATTGATGCATTTTCCTGGATGGAGAATCCAGTCCAGTCCCATCCGAAGAGCACATGTGCTGTTGCTGGGCCGCCTATTGTCTACTGCCATTATTACCCGCGGTAGCTTTCTCTGTGCGCCGGGCGACTGCCTCCAGCGGTGTCGCCATGAGGGGAGAGGACCGTTCTTCCCCCTCTTGGGGCTTCGCGTCACTTCCGTGCCGACTACGACGATTATATCGCGATAACTGTCTGGCGTCCCAACTTAACGGATTGCCCTCACCCAGGCACCACAAGTCCCGCCCGGCACCAGTCCTCCCGGTACCTGTCCCCAGGCACCAGTGTCCTCCCAAAGCACAAGTCCCGCCCGGCACCAGTCCTCCCGGTACCTGTCCCCAGGCACCAGTCTCCCCAACACCAGTACCCCCGACACCAGTCCCCCCCCCCCGGGCAAGACATTGGCCGGTCCCCGGGGGTCAATGCAGGCGACGTCCCTGGTTGCCTGGTTTGACCTCCCCGGGGCCGCTCGTTTGTCGGCCCACCCACATACGTACATACAGATATATGCCCGCGTGCGTGGCCTCCGCTGCCTGATGAGGGGCAAGCCGCTCCGGTCTTGCGTCGCCCCCAAGTATGTCCTGCCTGGGCTACCTGTGCAGACTGGCCCACGGAGCGCTCCTCGGTCTCTGCAGAGCCAGAGCTTCGCCCGGTCTGTGGCTGCCCAAGCGTCGCCCGGCCTGATCGGCCGCTGCTGCCGGCCCTCGCCACAGGGGCCCCCCGCGCCGCGTGCGGCGGGGCTGCCCTCGATGCGCCGCGTCCGCGTATTAGTCATGACAGTGCCCCCCGCGGCGGCCACCCTGACCAAGCGTTTTGTTATTTTTGTACAAGTCCACCGCAGGTGGACGCGCGGCATTGTGGGTGCGACTCCAGGCCCGGCTGCGGCTGGCGGTCCGGTCCGCGCTCCGGCCGGAGTGACGCCCTGTTTTTACCAGTGTTTGAGCTTTCTGTGTGTAGCTGGTTGTAGTGTCGATGGTGACGTGCATGCACTAGCTGACCGGTGTGCTCCAACTGCGCTGGAATCGAGGTCAAACGCAATATAAAAATCTATGGTAACACGACGTGGTGTGGAAACAGCGAGAACGAGCAGATATGAGAGGGAAGCCGGCGGTACACCTGCACATCGCCGTGCACCCACGCGTCCTCTTCGATCACCGCGCACCGTCACAGCTTCTGGACTCCTGGAGATTCCGACTGTCCAACGCTGGCTTATCTTCTAAAAAGGTGTCAAGGGGGCTGAGGAGCGAGCGTGTTTTTTCAGTTCCCCTTCACGCGTCGTCACACGGTCACAGCCTTGGAGCCACGTGTAACACCATAGGGCAATGGTTGAATTTCTGGGAAAGGAAACAGCTGCCCTACGTTTCTAGATTGTGGGTAGCCTTCGCTGATCGGTGCTCCTGGCTGAGCGCAAATACAGCGTTCAAAACACAGGCTTGGGCAGGGGCATAATTTCGCCAAATGAGTTGAGAAGAGGAGTGTTGTGCAATTATAAATGACGCGAACTGCTACCAAGACAGCTATCAAATGGGTATTACCCCGATTTAGCTATTTTTCTTCTCGGAGTCGGGGATGGGGCTGCAGCGACCCCCCAACTGAATGGGAAACTATACCCCTGGATACATGAGTATCTGGTTTAAGGGCAATACCGATGAAATGCTAATGAAAATTGCGTGTTTAAATGCTTCTCTGCTAGAAGCAGGGGCGGATCCAGGATTTCGGCAAGGGGGGGGGGCACGCAGCATTGTGGGGTCCCCTGGAGTTTGGGGCCCCCCCCCCCAAAAAAAAAATATTGCTTTTCGGTCATTACGTTTAAGACAAGTTGCATGCCATATATATATATATATATATATATATATATATATATATATATATATATATAAGTACACATCTGTGTTGAATTATTCATTTATTTCATAAATACGGAAACCGATCCTACTGCGGACAGCCCTATACAGCTAGGCGTGCTACGTCTAGTTACATATAGATCTCACTCATTTTCTACAGATCATGTTCAATGCTGTGATTTTCAGGCTATGTGTTTCGGAACAACAGGCAAAATGAACTTGAGTTGGCCTGCTAACGACTATCAAAACTAAGCACGGACTTGATTCTTAGCTTATGTATTTACGGCTAGCCGGCTGGGCGATGTAATCGGCTGATGGCTGATGACTAATGCAGGATTTTCCTTTGTTATAAACGACCACAACATATCCTAGCATTCAAAGTATGTTTAGAACGTGATGCACTAGTATAATAAGTGTCACGCACTCAATAGCCAGTGGAAATGACACATGATGTCGGCGGCATGTAAAATTGCGTTCGGCAATTACGCGTAAGAATTCAGCGGCGCATATGCCACTACTGCTCCAAGGCGACGGCACGCAGGCCAACAAAGTGGCTCCCGTCGTAGGCGTAGGAACGTTTCAAAAAGTGTTGGGGGGGGGGGGGGTAAGCTCGGGGCGCACTTCAGGAACTTTTCCTGGAAAACAAGCCCGACGACCCGGGGGGGGGGGGGGGGTAGAGAAGGAGGTTATCTCTCTTTATTCAGATGAAATGAATGACTGCTATTCTAGATATGCATCCAGAGCTGTTTCCCATTTATGCACATTGATGCCTATACGACTCACGTATGTCATTCGGGAAATAAGGTTATCCAGCTTTCCAAGACTATTCGTCCATTTCAACGTTGCCTTTCCTGGGGAGCGGAAATTCCACAAGCGGATAGGCATTTTGGGTATTTAAGGAGGCATCCGTCTACACAGGGTAGATGCCATAATATGGCCTGAGCATAGGCTGGTGAGAATCTAGAAAGTGAATTTATCGCTCACAGTACGACAGATGCTGCGTGCGCCTTCATTTCGCTGGCTGCTTTTCGAGAGATAAGACTTGTCGCGGCATTTTAGGCGGAAACAAATTTGGAAGCTTGGAAGTGCCAAAAACCGTGTGAGAAAAGTCATAGAACTGGATATTTTCCTTTGACAACCAAGCCACAGAATGAAGACCATTCTGTCATACATTCCTTTTCTGAGCCCTGTTCCTGTCCCCCGTCGGTGGCCACTGCCCTGGCCCGGATGTCTCCCGCATGACTGACTGCGAGCTGATCGTGTGGCTACTTTGTTGCATACTTTTGGACCAGCGTTGCTACTACATGGTGTGTGAAACACGTATTGAACACCTGCAAGAGTATCTTTTTCCGAATTATCCTCCCTCACACCACACCATCGCAGAAAAATAGCCCCCGGGAAGCTGTCTGCCTTAAGTATGAATTGGCCAAACGGACACC